CACATGGCAGTACTAACTTTGGTACTTCCAAAGCCTTGGGTGGTTAAAAAATAGTAAATATAATAATCCTAAGAGCAGCTAACCTTTCCTGAGGGCTCATCACGTGTTAAAATCTTCACCTTCATTATCTTACTTAATTCTCCTAGTAGCTTGTGAAGTAGGTTCCCATTTCACAGCCCAGGTTAACACCTTGCCCAGGCCACACCCTACTCTGGGTTAGCACTCCAGGGAGACCTTGATCTGGGCACTAGCTGGAGCCCACCCTAGACTCTCACCACCTCCTCCCTTCCCTCTGGTGGCGGGGAGGGGGCAGGGGACAGGAGGAGGCCAGGCGGAAGTCCCCTTTCAAGAACAGAATGGTGGCTGGGAGTACCACAGAGGCAGCACTTCAGCTGTGAGGTGTGGCAGCTGCCCGCACCGAGCTCACCACACCTGAGCAAGTGGCTCACGGAATTGGAACCCAGTCCCAGGAATATGGAATGCTGAGTAAGGCGGTAACGAGGCCATTTTTTTTTTTTTCTTCTGACTTTAAAAAAAGAAAGAAAACTTGGCCCCCTCCTTGTGGGTGGTATCTCTAAAAAAAGGAAATTAACAATGACATGTCTTCAGGTAAACAAATCCATGGCTTTTCCCTTCTTCCTTCACCCTAGTCATGGCCAGTAAAAGGGCCACTGAACCAGCCCTGTGGATCCCATTCTTGCCTGCAGGCTGGTCAATAACAACACAGGGCAGTCCTGGATCCCTAGCATCAGTGGGAGTCGCTCTGTCCTAGGCAGCGTGCTAAGCACTTTACACGGATCATTTCACTTAATCCTCCTAACTGCCTCCATGCCGGCCAGTCCTCTTATTTCTCCCATTTTCTTGCACTGAGGTTCTGAGAGCCCAGGTGATGTGAGCGAAGTCCTGTGCCCTACAAATGGTAGGCGCTATCATGGTTGGACCTGTAAGAGAAATGAAATTACGATTGTTATTCACATGCTTGCTATTTTTGGCACCGGCTCAAGGTTCTCTCCTCCCTTTCATGGAATTCACTGTCCCCGTAGCGGATGGAGAAGCACGGAAGACAAAATCCGACCCGGGCCTCATGATCCCAGCGGGGTGAGCAGGAGGCCCGGGTACCTCCACATTGTGTTGCAAAGTTGGGGGTAAAAATGACCGATAAAGTGCTGTGGTGTCCAGGGAGGGGGTGTGGGATGAATCGGCAAGGACTTGTGCACGTGAAGAAAATGCACAAGGGCCTATGAAGAGAGGAAGAGCAGAGCATCCCAGCTCCAGGCCCTGCCCCCTGCATGGCACCTGAGGTGGTCCCTCTGGCCAATAGGTAGATGTCCTTAAAAACCGCATCACAGCTCTTCCTTGCTGGGTACACACGTCATCCGGTCTCGTGAACCAGAAGCCCCTCGTTTGGCTCCTGGCTGCCTGCATGGGGGAGGCACACTTGGGGTAATACATTTTGAGGTGATGATACCCCTGCCTTCCTTTGGGACTGATACATTCCCCCCCACCCACGTGTAGGGTGTCATGAGCTCTTTCTCTTGTATGGTCTCCCCAAGATGCTTTGCACGGGCCCGTCAGGAATCACCACCCCCAGGTTACAGGTGAGGAAACTGAGACCCTGCAGATGGGGGCCAGCTGCCTAGCTTTGGGGGATCCGGGAGTCCACCTCAGACTGACCTGCTGCTAGGAATCCTCAGCTAAGAGGAGAGGGCTGCTCCCAAAGCTGATGACTTGGCCCCCGGTGACCCTTAAGCAGTTTTCTGCCCCTTGGGGCCTCAGTCTTCCCATCTGTCATATAGAGATGAGGGTCACTTTAGAGTCAGTGCACAGGCCCCAGCTGAGCGCCTGCTGTGTGCAGGGTGTTGCATGAAACCGACCAAGCCTTCCCCGCCCTCATGCAGGATGGGAAGGCTGATGGCAAGGCTGACAGCTAACAAGTGGAAAACATGACAACACCCACCGGTTTCCCAGGTGTCTTCCAGCACCTGCGCTGAGTGACTCCAGGATCTCCCCCAACCCTGGGAGCTAGGCGAGGGGGCAGTTTTATCTCTGGGTCCTGGCGTGGGGGCCAGAGTGCCTGCCGCCCCAGAGCTGAGACAGGCCTTGACTTGAGGCGGCTTCCGCAGGACTGATTTATTGGCAGCCACTTGGCAGCCACTTGGCAGCCCCGGGGAGCCCCAGTCCTAGGGCGTGCTGGGTCCCCCCAGCTGGAATGAATCTGATGGGAGGATGAGTTTGGTCATGCTTGGGTTGTCAAGAACTGAAGAATCATATTCTCTCTTTAAAATATTCCTCGTGGATACCAGACTCTTGCTTGTCCCAAGAAGAGGCTGGGGAATCCTGAGCCCGTGCTCTGTGATGTCAGGAAGCCCCTAACCCTCTCTGAGCCCCAGGGGCCCCGTATAAAGTGAAGAGAAGGATCACTCGGCTGCTGGGCTTGCTGGGGAATGGAATTAGATAATACATGGAACTGTTCAGCTGTGAGCTCATTAAATCCACCCTATGTAAGAAGAGCAGCTGTCTTTGGTGTCAGCGCACGGCACGCTTATGAGTTTGTCTGTAACTTCCATCAAACCCAGCAAACCCAGCTCCCAGAAGAGTTCCCAAGACTCCTTGTAGTTCAGGAAATGCTGATGCTTCTTCACCCTCCTGGTGCTGCAGTCATAGAGGAAGGGAGCCAGGCGGCAGGAGCTCGGGCCTGGATCTTATAGTTCTTTAGCTGTGCAAACATCGGCTAGGGGCCTTTGTTTCTGATCTGTAAAATGGGCACCCGCGTTGCTGTGTTGGCTCCTGGAGATAATACGTGTAAAGTGAAGTCAGGAACCTCTTTCGGAATTTCTCTCTCTGGCAGATGCACCCCTCTCCGCAACCAGATCTTGCGATGTTAAGAACGAAATTCCTGTTGGGGGTACTAAGCAGTGGCGTGTCACTGGGAGCGAGGCAAGCATGGGTTCAAGAGCAGCAGTGTAGGGGCTCTGTGTCAGCATTGCTAGAATCTAGGGCTTGCTGTGTGCTAGAGGACCCTGAGTCTGATGCCGCTAGCTTCTGGGGTACCTTCTCCCCAAGAAGCTTGGGTATGGCATTAGCAGCATCCCAGCTCCGCTACTACCAACCAGCTTTGAAACCTCAGGCTCATGACCTCAGCTTCTCTTGTGAAATTAGGTAAAGACTCCAATTTTTATGGGTAGGAACATGACCTTCTGGCCGTTCCCAAGGAGTGGAACGAGGCTCGGGGGCTTCACCTCCTGGCCTCCCCAGATACTAATGACAGTCTCAGTAGCCCTGTCTGGGGATCTCTCCGTATGCCAAGCCATGACCAGGCCCCAAGCGAGACATCACCCCCACTTGACCAATGAGGAACTGAGGCTCAGAGAGGGAAAGTGGCAGATCCCTGGCCACACAGTGGTGGGACAGGGATTCAAGCCGCAGTCTGTAACTCCAAAATGACTGTGCTATGTCACTGTCTCCTGGCCTCACCATCGGCTCCAGGAAGGGGACGAAGACACTGTTTGCCTTGTTTCCTCAGAAGGGCTAGCACCACACCTGGCACATGGTAGGGACTCAGTAAAGTCTTAGTACTTGAATGAATGAGGGAAGGAGCAAAGGAGAGGATCTTCCGTCCTAGCCCCAGCTCCTCCCAGCAGGCAGGTCCCACAGCTGGGTGTCTCTGGGGCTCCAGGGTGGGGCTCCCAAACCTAGTTAGTCACAGCCTGGCCTTGGCTGCCTGGGCCCGTCTCTCTGGAAAGATTTTCTCTGTAGACAGTGGCTCAGCTCCTGCGGGGGCCTCCTTCTTAATCCCAGGGGTCAGGATGGGCAGGGTATAACTCCTGCTTGGCACAGGGCCCTGGCTGGGCCTGCAGCAGTGTGCTGAGGAGGGCGGGTCGGTTATGGAGTTCAGTATCTGGGTGTGCTCCCTTGGCCTGATCTGGGCTCCCACCCCCCATTCCAGCTTTTCTCACTTCTGCTGACTCAGAAATTCACCATCAGCCCATCTTCAAACCCAGCTCTGCCCCTTCCTGGCTGTGTGACCTTGGGCAGGTCATCTCTCCTCTCTGAGAGTCGGGCTCTATAAAAGGGGAATAATGAGAATATTCACCGACGTACAGTAGGTCTCAGAACAGAACCATTGGTCACTTGGCAGTAGCAAATTAATAGTCTTCCAAAATGATTGTTCCATTACTTCCCTGCCTCAAAACTCCCAGTTCTTAGTTTTTTTTTTTTAATCTAATTTATACTAAAGTGTGGATGGTTGTCAAATGTCCTTCCCCTTCAAGTGTGTCTGAGTCAGATATCCGTATGATCTGTGGTGTTTCTGGTGCTGTATGAGTGAAAAGGAAATTGAGGGGATTTTCATTGAGGGTGTAGGTGAGGAATAGATTTTCTCATTCTATCACCTAAAGTCCCTTCATGCAGCAGTTGGGGATGGGCAAAGGGCACTGATTTGATTGAGGGGTCCGGACTTTTAGTCTTTACTGCTCTGAGCAGTTTGACACTGTTTAAGGAGGTTTTCAGTAGGCATTTAACAAATGTCTTCCGGGAGAATGACCAGAGAATGGGCTGTGTTCTAGACAAGGGTGATTTTCCCCGCCACCTTTTCACCACGTCTGGCGAACTCTTACACATCCTTCAAGGCCCAGTTTAGATGCTCCTCCTTCAAGAAGTCTTCCTAACTTAGTTCAGGTCCAGTGAACCTTTTGGAAACTCTGGTTCATCAGAGAAGGGAAAGCCCTGAGTTTATCCCTAACTCTCCTATTTCCTAAGAGTAGACAACTGTGACCCAGAAAGGGACCTTCCCTTGGCTGAGGTCTCACAGCCAAACCAGAAGCAACAGCAGGGGGATTCGAACTAGACATCTCTAGATCTCCTCTGATACAGATAGGCAAGAAAAGGGGGCCAAGGGCACTGCCTCTCTTCTCATTCTTCTCCCACTGCGCCCCCCATTAGGGCCTCCCACAGAGCTGAGAGCACGCTGCTAACACCCTCTCTTCCTTCTTTCTCTGCAGCCCATGACCTCCCTGCGAACAAGGCCTCGGCAGCCCAGCCCGGCAGCCACTTGCAGTGCCTGTCTGTCCACTGCACAGATGACGTGGGCGATGCCAAGGCCCGAGCCTCCGTGCCCACCTGGCGGTCCCTGCACTCTGATATTTCCAACAGATTCGGAACCTTCGTGGCCGCCCTAACTTGAATCGACAAGAAATACCCCCTTCCCCACCAGGCCCTCCCCTCCCCGCTTCTCGCTCCCTTCCCCCTCACCCTGCCTCCTGCCCCCACACCCCTCCCTGATAATTTGAAAGGGCCACTATTGCTGAGTGGATGAATTTTTTTCTAGCTTGGTACCTGCTTAGTGGCAAATGGACCGGAAAGGGTTAATTTAAAGGGAAAAAAAAAAACCTCAAAAAACTTTTTTAAAAGAGAAACTCTGTCTGCCACAGTATGTTACCAGTGTTAACCCTTCTGCAGTTAGCAAACTTTTGCTTAAGCCTTTTTCCTGCTAGATAATTCCATTTTTCTGTCATCTTGGCATACGTTTTTTAGATGACCTCTTTCCTCGTTTTATTTCCATGCTGCTGTATGTCCAAGTATTGTTATTTCATAATAAGACAAGAGTTGCTTTCCTTTTTTTATTCTCTTATTGTTCCTCCCCCACCCGCCATTTTTTTCCTTTTTTTTTTTTTTCTTTTTGCTTTGTTCACTGCTTATTAAAATGGAAATCCTGGAGAAGAGTAGTTCTGGAATATTGCCGGGTAAAAGTCAAATTGTCATCACAATATTATATATTGACACCCAACTGTCATCAGTCAGACAGGAGCCAAACAATGAATGCCCCCCTTAGGTATTCCGCCTGGGATTTTGTTTTGTCTGTTCCCTAAGAAAACAGAGGTTTTTCGTTCCTACAAACACAGGCTCAGCCTTCAGCTCCGTTCTCTCTTCTGCTGGAAGCTGCCCCTCTCTGCAATGGAGGCGATGACGTGGCCAGCCTGCTCTGTGGGAAGGAGTCAGAGCGTTTGACGGTGGTGTTTTCTCTCCTTTTCTGGGCCTCTCCACAGACTCCCAGGCTCTGAATTTTCACGCTATGCTGAGCAGCCTGATCTGCATGGGTGATGGTGGCCTTCCAGCTTGCAGAGTTTCTGGGGGCTGGGGGCTCCTGACTCCTGCTCCACCGCAGCGAGACTGTCTGGGTCTTGGGTGCTGGAGTTGGGGTGGACCAATTCTTAGCCCTGGACCTTTCCTGACAGCTGATCCCAGCCAGGCATTCTGGGGAAGAAGGAGAGGGGCCTGAGTGTACCTCCCCCGCCTTTCCCACTGGGTCCCCACTCCCCATCTATTTTATCACCTCCAACCTGGGCAACCCCGCATTCCTGAGAGGGACGAAGTTTTCACCAGCACTTTTTGAGGGAGCTCCCAGGCTCGGCTTGCCAAACACCTGTCTCTGAGTCTGGGTGTATTTCTTTGCTGGGGTTTGCAAGCTGCCAAGGGCCAGAGGGGAGAGAAAGGGAATATAACTCATGACTTTGATACCTAGGCCTTGTTTTTGTAACCCTGGAATTCTCCCTGCCCCCTTTTGATTTCAACTCACCCTGTCACAAAATTAAAGCCACATCCCGTGAAGGAATAACCTCTCATGATGGAATAACTTCCCCTTTGAGAAGAGATGAGAGGTGGCTGGGCAAGCAAGGCTCCTGGAGCCAGCGAGGCCTGTTACCTGGTCCTCCCAGAGTAGTGGTCGCCAGAGGCCCAGGTTGGCAGGAGCAGAACCTTTGAGTACTGTTGATGGCTACAGAGGACATGAATGAGTTATGGAGGTGGTGGGGGCCACTAAGACTCCAGGGTGGGTCAGACAGGAAGTGACTGATATCACTTCACCCCAGTCAATGACCCATTATTTTATTTCAGTTTTTGTTAACGACTGGGTCTTCCTAAATGCCTCATTTTGAACCTCACCTCCCTTCCTCCCAAGTCCTGAGAGTGTGTAGACCTGGCTTTTTTTAGCAAGTGACCTGAAGGCTTTGGGCTTACTATACAACACCCACATTGTTTATTTCAAAGAACTTTTTGGCCAAGGGAGAAGAGCATCCAGAAAAATCTCGCTCTTTCCATACCTCCCTCCTTCTTTCCTCCATTCAGCCCTTTTGGCTCCGGTCTGTGTCTGGACGGTCTGAGGTTCTCTCGCATGGGCAGTCTGACCAGGGGCCGACCCCAGCCCACAGAGGGCAGGCCGAAGCACGAGCACGTGGTATGGATTTATCAGCGAGAAGGTGCGAGCTGACTCAGTTCCTGAGTTCTGCCACCAAAGGGGAGGAAGGGGGACAGGTGTGCCCCTGCCACGCTGCAGGAGAATCAGCCATAGTCTGAGCAAAACTCCATGCCCCCTGACCCCCGATTCCGCAATGTACAGCTGTTTGAGAGCTTCACCATTTTATTTTTTTTTAAACAGGAATGATTTCTCCTTAATTGCTTAAGGCTGGGGAGCCAAGCGTCTTGACTTCTATCTGACTTTTCCTGCGTTGAGTCCATCAGCACTTGTCCATCAGCTCATGGTCCTAGCAACCTCGGAAACCCCTGAAGTTTAAAACTCTTTCGCTCCCCACGACCCCAGAATGGAACAGCTTTAAAAATAGCCTTAAGCAAAAGGATGTTATTTCATTAAATTTGGTTTAATGGAAAGAATAAAAGCAAATTAAAAACACACCCAGCCCATGAGACTCCAAACACTGGTAATCGGTACTGCATAGCAAACTCTTCGGGAAAGAAAATGAAAACGTTATTGCACATGTAAAATATGAAAACTTAACTCTGCTGTGTGTTAGGCAATCCTGTAATCTTTTTTGACTTAAAAGAAATTCATTTCTGAAATGCTTGGTTGGAAGACTGTGACAATAGCTCATGAAATTGAGTGTTATTTTTTTCTTTCTTTTTTAAAAAAATATGTAAAGTGCAGTCTTCTGTATTCATGCATATTGTATATACCTGTATATGTTTTCCTGAGCAGCTAAATAACAATAAATATGACGTTAATGGTGACTGTAGTACATTTGTGGGTGGGGCTTGCTTTTTCCCCCCACCCCACCCCTTTTTTCCATAGGTCTCTTCAAATTCCGTGGGAATGGGAGTGTAGGTCTGGATGCTGTAGTGTGTGTGCATGCGTGTGTGTGCGTGCGCATGAATGTGTTGATTCTGTTCTAAGTTGGGTCATCTCAAAATTTCTCCACTCAGCGCTATTGACATTTGGGCTGGATAATTCTTTGTGGTGGCGGAGGACTGTCCTGTGCAGCATCCCTGGCCTCCACCCACTAGATGCCTGTAGCACCTCTTCCCCTTGCCCTCTCCCTTGTGACAACCAACAATGTCTCTAAATATGGCCCAATGTCCCCTGGGAGGCATGATCCCCACCTGGGACTGAGAATTACTGGTATCTGATTAGCACAAGAGGTAGAGGGCAAGGAGAGACCCAGGTGGCTGTGCCGTGTGATGGTTATTTTTTGGTTCTTAGAGTTCAGTTTCAGGAATCAGTAAGCTGTGTAACCTCCTACCAGTTATGCAGCTTCTTCGTTCTTCTTTTTCCTTATCTGTGAAATGGGTCTAACTTGTAGAGTTGTTATAGGAGACAATATATGTGAACACCACACATAGGAGGTCTCCACACGCATAAATTGTTAGCATTGCACAATGAACAGAGCATGGTACAGCTAACAGTGTTCTGGAGTCTGCTTGTCCTGGGTGGATGCTGCTTTGTCCGCTTACAGCCAAGGGCTATGGGCAAGTGGTTTCAACTCAGTCTCCATTTTCTTGTCTCTAAAATGGAGCAAATACATCTAGCTTGAAGGTTACTGTGAGCACCAGCCCTGCTTCAGGCTCTGTAAAAGCTCTGGCTGTCCCATGGGCCACCCTTTGGGCAGCAGCTTCACTCTGGCACCTGCAGCCTCAGGCTTGAGGCTATTGCAGAATCTTAGTCCACAAAGCGGGGAAGGGAGGCAAGAGATAGACAAATTAATAGATAATTAAGAGTGAGGGGTATATGCCCCACAACCCATGGTACAAGGGATAAATTTCACTCTGAGAGATTCATGAACCTCATGTAGGAGCCTTAGGGAAGGCTTCCTCCAGCAGGTCATGTCTAGGTGGGGTTTTGAAGGATGAATAGGAGTGCATCCTATTCATCACAACATATAAATTTATCCTAATTTGGCAGAACTTTGTTTTATTTCTTTCCCTTAGCTTTTACAGTTTTTTTTTTTTAAATCTATGCAATGGAATATTTGTCAGAATATACACTTTTAAAGACGAGGCCTCTATATTCACTTTAATTTGAAGGAACTTAAAAATCTCTTTAATCTTTAAAGGTCTCCTGCTCCAAGTGACAGTTGTATATGATCATGCTCAGTACCTTAGAAAGGGAAGAAAAGTGAAAGAATGATGAGCGGTGGGTGTGGGCATTTGGGAGACTTCAGATCGCTGTGAAATGAATGGATGAGTGAGTGAATGAATTCATGTCTCAGAGGGCCAAGAACCCAAAGGACGACATGACATGGGGCTGTAATGTTGGGGTGCGTGTTTTGCTGGGGAGAGCCAGGGCAGGGCTCTAGCAGCAGGCCGGTACATCTTGCAGGCTGGCCTTTCCATGTTGACAGAGAAACCCCATCTTAGCCAGATATCTCGACACACACTTCAGAATGGCTGCCTCCTCCTCAAGTATCGACAATTCTAGAAGGCTGAAAGGGTGTCTCATGGGAGGGGATGGAGGGAGTGTCAGGTGGACTCTCTGCTACCTGACAGAGCTGGGGGGAGGTGCAAAGAAAAATGCCTCATCCCACTTGCTTTTTAAAAAAGATTAGAAAAGGATCCCAAGACCAAAGTGAAACATACGTCTCCCTAAGTGACAAAGGGATCAGCAGGGAGGGCCCTACCTGAGGCACCTAAATTGAGCTGTAGTGGAGATACAGGGTGTGGGAAGTGCCAAGCCTTTGCCCCCGGACCGGGCCGACCTGACCTGGAAGTGATTGAGAGTGAGTACCAAATTCTAAATTATAACGCGGCATGATGGGATGAACTTACAACCCTAATTCTGTAATTATAACATAGCCTGATGAGCTGTTCCAGGAACTTTGAAAGAGTTTTTTTTTATTGAGATAAAATTTACTTAACACAAGTTAGTCATTTTAATGACTTTAATGTGTATAATTGAGTAGCTTTTAGTATATTCACAGTGTTGTGCAACCATCATTGCTATCCAATTCTGAAACATTCTTATCACCCAAAAAAGAAGCTCCATACCCATTTTCAGGGAATCCCGTATCGCCCCCTTTTTCTGGCCCCTGGCAACCACCAACTGGCTTTTCTGTCTCTCTATGGCTTTGCTTATTCTGCACATTTCACGTACATAGAGTCATACAATATGTAGCTTTTGTGTTGGACCAGTGTCACTTAGCGTAACGCTTTCAAGGTTCATTCAGTTTTATGACTTAATACGATTCCATTGTATGAATATACCACGTTTTGTTGATCCACTCTCCAGTTGATGGAAATTAGGGTTGTTTTCACCTCTTGACTATTATACGTAATGCTGCTATGAACATTTATGTACAAGTTTTTGTGTGAACATACATTTTCAGTTCTCTTGGGGATATACCTGGGAGTGGAATTACCTGGTCACATGGTAACTCTGTGTTTAACTTTTTGAAGAACTGCCAAACTCTTTCCTCAGCAGCTGCACCATTTTACATTTTAGGAGTTTTTGTTTATTTATTTAACCCAGTGTTCCCCACCCCCCTTTTTCACATTCTAAAAATTAAGGCATAATTTTTATACAATGAAGTGAACGGATCTGTGTATAATTTGGTGTGTTTTCACCAATGTCTACATGTGTGTAATCCAAACCTCTTTTCAGAATTATACAACAGAACAAGCTCTCAGAAAGTTCCCTCCTGCCCCTTTCCAGTCAAAAACCCACCCTTAAAGTGACAACCGATCGGATTTCTATACCATTGATTAGTTTGGACTATTCTTGCATCTTAAATGTCGTAGAAATGGAATCACGCAGCCCATGATGGTTTGGAGTTTCCGGTCCCATTTCTGGCTCGCTGGGATGCGGAGGGGATTGTGAATAATGCTGCTGCCGTTGGCACCGACTGCCATTCATCGCATACATGCCCAGAGACTTCCCCTGCTTTATGGACTTCAAACCCAGGCCTGCCTGACTCTCCGCCCAGATCTCTGCTTGCTGCTCTGAAGCCACCAGAAGACCCTAGTCCAGCAGGATGGGGCACATAGTGGGGTGTGAACAGATGGTGTGAGGGGGCTGGTACCAACCCCCCCACTAACTGGCCTAGGGTCTCCTCTCTGGGCCTTAGTTTCCCCATCTGAAAAATGGGCTTAAACCAGCCCCTGCCTCAGGTAACTTCCAAAACAAGGCTTCCCTGAGAGACAGATGGAAAGGCAGAAAGTTGAAAATGGTGAATTCCATTGGGGTTGGAGGAACACCTTTGTCTGTTTTCAGAACCTGTGCAGTCAAGGGTTATTGGTTACTTAGCATATGCCAAGCGCTGGCTAGGCAATTATTCTGCACAGTCTATGTTCAGAAAGCTGTAGGCGTCAGGGCCTCAGAGTCCTTTCTAGTTTATTGATGAGGAAACTGAGGCTCAGGGCCATGTAGTCTGTGGGCCCAGGTCATCCAGGAGGTGAGTGGCTGGCTATTGCATATTCGGGGAGCACAGAGCTCTGAGCTTGTGGGCTGTCATCTTCTTCTTTTTGTGACTATTGTAAGGATTTGTGCAAACAGGGATGACCTCACCCCTCCCAGCAAGGCCCTGTGGCCACCTTCTTTTTCTAGGACGAGTGGAGACCCAGGAGGAACTGGAACCTGAGTCTGGCAAACATCCCTTCGGTTGTCCAGGTAGGGATGTCGGCCTCATTCTGTGATGTGGGAGGTGATAAGGAGAAAGTAGAGGCTGAGTGGCAGATGGCCCCTCAGCTCTAAATCCTGCTCACTGGCTGGGTGGCTGCTCTCTGAGCCTCAGTTTCCTCATCTGCAAAATGGAGCCAATTTTAACACCTACCACCTAGAGATATAAGGATTCAATGCTGTGAGAGGGCTTTGCACAGGGGTTGCTCTGAGCAAACATTCGGTACATATCAGTTGCTATCGGTGGTAGAATTAACCATTATGTGCCTCAGTTTCTCCCTGTGCAAATGGAGGTACAATGATTTATAGCAGGAAACACTTGCATGATGCTTGCTATGTGCAGGGGCCTTAGGCTGATGAGTTATATTAACAGCATAGGAGGCAGGCTCTATTATGAGCCCCATTTTCCAGAGAAAAAAGCCAAGACACAGAGGTGGGCCAAGGTTACCTGGGCAGCTAGTGGCAGCTCGCCTTTCCAGGGCCAGGAGGAGTCAATCATGCTTGGCACAGGGCTAGGCTGGGTCAGCCCCTAGTGGGTAATACAGATGAGGCTCAGAGAGGCACAGCCACTTACTTGAGGTCACACAGCCTGCCAATGGCAGAGCACAGGACCAGTTTGTGTCTTTCAGTTTCAAGGGGCTAGAAATATTTTGCTTTCCCTTCCTTGTTCTGTGCCCTACATACAGTAATTGCTGGATAGATGCTCTGTTTCCTGCCCAGGACAAGACTCAGCCCAATTTTATCCCATCTTTTTGGCTGTTGTTGGCTAAGGAGACAGAGAGGAGAGACTGGGGAAGAAGAGGCTCTTGATTTTCCTGCTGTGGGCTGGGCCATGACAGGGCTCCTGGCAGCCCCTGCCCTCTGGCAAGAGGTGAGATGGTGGGAGGTGGAAACTCCTTTTTCTCCAGCTGCTCCTTTTGAGGCTGGAGTCCTGAATATCTGGCGGGTGAGGTGGAGGCTGGTGTGGCGGATGACCTAACTGTGCACTGTGGCTGCAGCCTTTGTCTCCTCCATTACAGCCCCTCCCCATGGGTTGGAGGAGCCCGACCCCCCGGGAATCTCACTGGCAATAGCACATTCTTCCCAGTGCCTCTGGGGCCCCCTCCAGTCGCCCCAAGCAGCC